GTAGATTTTTTCACTCCCCTTATGGAAAATGTATACCTTATAATCCAATTGGCAAAGGCAGCCCTCATTGCTAATCAACCAGATTCATTTCCTTTGTTAGAAAAAACCTTGCGTAATTTTCCAATTTAGATAAATGTGGTCACACTTGTTCTTATGACAACTACCTTACCTTTGAATTCTAATTCATGAATAGATTGATGGATGGATGGATGGATGAATGGACAGATGGACAGGTGAATGGATGCCCATGTGGATAGATAGAAGCATGGAGCTTTAGCAGAAGTTTGTTCTCTGGATAAAATAAGACACTGCTCTCTTCAATATTTCTTTGAAGCTCTATTTGCCTTTCTGCCACAGGCTATTCTCTGAGGAACTGTGTGTTTTAAAACTGTCCTTTTGTTTGTTGTCCAGATTATTTGTGCACACAAGTAAGATTCAGGCCGGGTGAGGAACATGTCAGGTAAAGGAGGAGAAAGGCAGGTGTAAAGGAGGAGATGATCTTTCAGGCAGGTCAGCTTTAAGGAGCACCTGTGACAGCTGAGGGTCTGGCAAATGACTTCCTTGAACTGACCACATTCTAGTGCTGTCTGGAAAGTCCTCGTGTATCCACACTGATATCCATGTACCCCAAGTGGAAGATCAGTGCCCTAGAGGGGAAGGCTACAGCCAGTGGATAAAGTGTAACCAAACAATTAAAACTGTCTAAATACAAAGTGGTCTGCTTTGCTTAATGAGTTTCTTGTCATTGGAATTATTTGCACAGAATCTGGGGTGGGGGGTGAGCCATCAAGTATGCTATAGAAGGAAGGACCCTTGCATCGAGTATAAATTTGACTGGAGAATATTTAAAGATTGATTGATTGATTGATTGATTGATTTGAAAGAGAGAGAGAGAGACAGTGAGAGAGGGAACACAAGCAGGGGAAGTGGGAGAGGGAGAAGCAGACTCCCCGCCGAGCAGGGAGCCTGATGCGGGGCTCGATCCCAGGACCCTGGGGGACCATGACCTGAGCCAAAGGCAGACGCCTAACGCCTGAGCCACCCAGGTGCCCCTGACTGGAGAATATTTAAAGGGTCTCTTCCAACTAAAGGATTTATGGTATTTCACCCAGGAGTGCTCAAACTTCGTAGTGCATTAAGATCCTAATCTTATTTTGGAATCCTGAAGGAAAACAGAGGAACCCATTATCTCTTGATAAACAGTGAGTGTTTATTTTTGTTTTATTTATCTCTGTATCTCTGTTTTTACACATTGGTTCTATCTTCTAAGTCAAAGTCACTTCTGTTTGCCAACACGTACCTAATACAATGCGCTATCACTTGCTTGATAGTACACAAAATCATTTCTGTAACTTCAGAGGCGGGAAGGTCTTAAGTCAAATTAGTAAAGCATATATGAAGTTTATTTATTTGATGTCAGCAAGGGGAGATTTAACTTCTGGGTAAAGGGACACATAAGGCATGAGGAAGGGAACTGGGGTTTGGCAGGGGGTGGGGATAGCAAAGCAGCGAGAAAGGATGGTATATTAACGGAGTCTTCCCACCTTGATAAGGACAGCTCAGGTGTGTAAGTTTTGTTTCTGATACAACCAAAAAGGGAAGGCAGTTTTGGCAGGTAGGCTACGTGGCTTTTCCGGAAGTCTCTGGTGAGTCTGATCTTGAAGGTGGTGGGCGTGTGGAGTGGTGGGGGAGGGGGAGGGATGTGGGGGTCCTCACGAATCTGGTCACCGCCCCACACGCGCTCCCGATACTGCTGTGAACACCTAGAGCTGTGTCACTGGTTCCATGGCAGGGTGGGGATGATTTCATACAAGGCTACTGGGAAAGTACTTAACTTCTGGCTCAGTGGCGAAGGACTGGCCTCTTTCTATTGTTCTGAAGTTAGTTTCAGAAGAGGCCCTTCTCTGTGATGCCACAGTTAAAGGTGCTCCCTGCAGCCGATGGGTGGTGTTAGTTCTCCTTAGTGATCTCTGCTAGTTATGACCTTCCTCTAGATTTAGCTGGAGCCTCTACTGACTCTTTCCATTTCGAGCTAACTTAGATAGCATGACAGTGTAGTCCGCTATTTCTAAATATAGCTGTCCCTGCTGGTGGAATCGCTAACGTGGTCAGATTTCGAAAGTCTCTTTGTGTTCTAGAAGCCAGGGTTAGGGGGTTGTGTCACTTAGAGATCTGTTTGTGTCCATGTGCCAACAATTTACTGAAATAGACTATTATTAAAATTTCATTGGCCTTATCAAAATAAATGTCAAAGAATCATTCCTACGGTGAGTGTATGAGCGTCACCACCGCTTTCTATCTCTTTTCCAAGCTTGTAAGTGGCTGTCTGCAGCAGAAGGACAAATTCCGTATTTGTCATCTTTATGAATTAATTGTAGCTTCAGTGTTGGTCAGCCCATCCTACTTTTGGGGTGCCTGGGTACTCAGAGCACGTGCGTGGTGATGGGGTCCTGTACTCATCTTCACCTATTCAGCATATTCAGGGCAACCTTTGGATCCTATAAAATATCTATCCTGTGGAAGCATGGATTATTTTTCCCCAACAGAGATATCTGATTGCTCAAATATTTTCCAGTAGCAAACGGGCAAGCGATTGGTGTCAGAATGGGCAAAGTCGTGGCAATGAGGACGGAGTGATGAATGCAAATCTAAGGGGCATGTCTCTGTAGCTGCGTGATCTGAAGTCAGCTCTCCTTCTGCTCTTTGCAAGATTAAGTTGGCAATTCTCTTATGAACCAAGGGTGGAATACTCTGTTTATAAAGCCCAGTGCTGAGGAGAATGAGTTCCCATAATCTGAGACTCTTGTTTCCAACATGATTCTCATCAGTGTCCTCCTAGAACTCAAATGAGAACCCATCTTTGACAATTACTGCTTCTTACTAATTACTTTTGCCCTTCAATAATGTGAATGCTGTTGGTTAATTCTCGTGGAGAATAACGAGTTCCACTGAAAGATACACATGGCATCTCCAAAAAAAACTGAAGCGGGAATCAGGGTGAAGGGCGGCGTACAAAAATGCCCGGGAAAGACCACAATTAGACCGAGGAATTTCTGCTCCAAAGAGGGGCTGCCTGAATTCCCTTTACAACTCTCAGTGCTCAGGATGGTGGGTGTCTCTTCCAGATAAGTGCTATGTGCATCCTGTTCCAACACTTAACTCTATGAAGTGTAATTTTAATAAAAAATAATTCAAATGAAAATTTAATTGTGGAATATTTAAATCAACCGAATGGTCAATTAAGCCCGAATGACCAATCCCATTTTCTCACTGAAACAATTTAAGATTTCACAAACATGTTTAGTTACAAGTAATAAATACTTAACCCAGTGCCTTTAAACTAAAACGTTTAATTTATTTGATGAATACCCAGGGCAGGCAAAATATATCCGAACAACCGCACTTGGGAGAAGTGTGGAGATGCAGCTGGACCTTGGGGAAATCAGGGGTAGATGGTATCTTTCTCTTGTCTATCGAATCTGATTCATCTCACTGTTTTCTCCACATTGGTTTCTGATGTGTTCATATGGTAAAATATGGCTGCTAGCTAGGGTTTCCCAATCCTGGCTGCATGAGAGGAGACTGGCCCCAGAGCCTCTATCCCCCAAATTAAAAATTCAACGGGAAATTTTTTGATCAGTCCAACCAGGTACCAATCCTTGGATTAACTGAGGTCAAGAGAGCAGAGTTCTGTTTTACAAAATTGCTGCCCTTGTAACCATGCAGATTAAGAAGTAGCAAGTCCTCCGAAAAGCTATTTATCATTTCCCTCTCAGTTAAAAATCAACCCGTGCCTAGTTGATCTTTCCAACTTTAACATATTCTTATGCCTCATTAACTTTTCCATACTCTCAGTCATTGTTTTTTTTTTTTTTCCTGTAGTTACAGGTTATATCTAACAAATTTATGTAGCAAATTATGGAAGACTTCGGTACAACAGAAAATCTCAGTATTAATTTCACATAAAACTGCCTGTTATCATAGGGTGTAAGAAAAGTAGTTCATTTTCTGGCAACTTCCATGGATGTCCTCGGGAATCATAAAATGGTATGTCAGATCAGACGGGTTGTCCTAGGGTCCAGAGAGCACGTGTCCAAATTGTAAACCCAAAATGAGGATTTAATTAATGACAAAGGAGAGAGACAGAGAGAGATTCAGAAAACATTTTCTTGCTTTTACTTGCAAGGTGAAAGTCAGGAAGTTTCCACACTGAAGAGGCAGTGTTTGGTTTCTATGGCATGTGCTATGCAGAATAGCCATAAATTAACCAAGCAAGACATTAAAAAAAAAATTCATGTCTCTTGCTAAGAGTAACTTCAGTTTGTACCTACACTTGTAATAATTTTAAAGGCAAAGTAATGAAATACAATGCTTGATTTTTATTTTTGGTAAGAAAACATTTCTGATGGGTCCAAGGAAATGAACAAACAACTCTAAAAAAGGGGGGGAAAAAAGATAAGGGGCACCTGGGTGGCTCAGATGGTTAAGTGACTGCCTTCAGCTCAGGTCATGATCCTGGAGTCCCAGGATCGAGTCCCACATCGGGCTCCCTCCTCAGTGGGGAGCCTGCTTCTCCCTCTGACCCTCCTCCCTCTCATGCTCTCTGTCTCTCATTTTCTCTCTCTCAAATAAATAAAATCTTAAAAAAAATTAAAAAAGGAAGATAAGCATTTCTTTTGAAAGGAGGGGAATAAGACTCCTTGTTAATGAATTTATCTAGAGAGAAGTAGGTTTCCTCACCTACACTCTTGGAATAAGGATGGTGTGTGTAGAGACATTTTATGCATGCTTAATGCACACCCCTAGACACGTCATTGTGCGCGTTTTGGGTTGTGACAACAGCAGTCTTGGTTGCTGAAGAAAATTCTAGTGTATATAAAAAAGAAAGAGTAGTCAGTGCAAATACCAGCCTCTTCAAGAATGAGCCCTTCGGCATGTTCTTCCTTTCACAGAATAAACAGCTCCTGCCATGCAGAGTACAAAGCAAGCCAACCACATACTTTGTTTATTAATAGTTTTATTTCCTTATTTTCACTGTTAAACTTGGGGGATAATATCACCACAAAGTTGCAGGCATCATTTTATAGTACAGATGATGGACATATTTTCAGGAGAAAGAATGAGCGTGGCATGGTGGGGGGGGCACCTGAAATGCCTCCTGAGGAAGGGGAGGGACCACCAGGTCATAAAAACGGGTAAAATTCAGTGCCTTTGGTAAAGATGTGGACACTATTTTGGATGCAACTATGATACATGCCTTTTGCTTACAAAGCAAATGTAGAGCCATCATCTTTGTTTGGATAGTGGTTTCTCACTACATCCTCATGAACGAGAAGGGTGTGATCACTGGACGCATCACAGTTGCTGCCCACAAAGCTTCCTGCCCACAGAAATCAACGTGCTCACTCCCCAACTTAGGGAGGCCTGTTTTCATTTAATTATCCCTCAGACCTGCACCAGCTTAGTTCCCGTGTGTTTAAAAAAAAAAGAAAAGGGCTGTTGCTCACAATGTTGCCTTCCATGGCTCCAAGCACAAGCCCCAAGGACGTTTCTCTGGAGGGTCGTAGGTGGGAGGCTGAAGAGCCCGGGTACTGGATGAGGAAGGGATTAAGAAAGGACTTTTGTTTCGTTGCTTGCAGAACAGAATGGATTCTCTCCTAACTTCCCACGCCAAGCAGAACTGCATGTGGACCAGGTTTTATGCCCAACGACAGATCTTCACTTGCACAAATGGAAAACGTATCTTCCCGGCCTCTGCAGGCCCTGTCAGTACTTCTCCTACTAGGACGGCCAGGGAGGACCACAGAAGTTCACCAGTCTGGTAAAAAGTTCCCAAGTTCTAGGGAAAAAAGAGAGAGTTGATTTTTTTTTTTTTTCCCTTTCTGTTTTCTTCATTATGTCAACGACTTCAAGTCTGTTTAAAATATTTCTGCTTGTTGCTTAGGAACACTGCATGAGCTAATAATCATCACATTTTCCCTTAAGTTACTCTCCCAGCTTGGTGACCCCTGCGTACAGCAGCGGCGCGGGGCCGGGGTGCAAATAGTCCTGATAAATATGCATTCTATGGATCATAAGGGGTTAATATTAAACATTCAACATTTATTGAATGTCCACTCTGACAGACACTGGCCCAGCCACAGGAGGCAGACAGATGCCTAAGACCCACTTTGTATCGTCCAGGAACTCACAGAATTGAGGATAAAAATAGTTTGGGGCTCGGTGTACAAATCGCAGAATTGTTAAGTATTTTGGACTTCAAGAAGGAACGATAAGAGACTTTTATATTCTGGGGATAATTTTTTTTTTTTTAGGTTAAGTTAGGGTTCCCGGAGTCTGATTTGGGTGAGGAAAGTGTTAATGATACTTCTCTGTCACGGAGCCTACGACTTCCTTTTCCATTTGCCTTTTACATAGGATGTCTCGTGCAACTCAGAGTAGGGGTGACCCCAGCCCAGACCAGAGCAGGAGGGTCCGGCCTCCGTGCTGAGTCTCTGTGGTTCTGCTACGACCACCACAGGCCTAATGTTCTCCTGAAGCATTGGTTCCTACCCAAGCATTTGGGGTCCACGTCTACACATCCAAGTTCCCCGTCTACTCGTGTGTGTGAGGCTGTGAATGTAACTACGTCCACTCAACAACGTCAGGAACACCTGCCCGTGTTGGAGCCAGCACGGGGCAGGTGCAAACGCCCACAGAGTAGAGTCGCTTTATTAACTTGTCTTTGTTTCGTTTTTGTTCTTTGGTTTTTGTTGGTCCCTCAGCAGCCTCCTTTTTCGGGCAGTAACACTAAAGCCGGAGAAAGAAGACGGAAATCTCTGGTTCTAAAGAGGCCTGGGTTACTGTCCCCAGAGCCAGCCTCTTACATCTGGCGCATTAATCCTGGTGGAGGCTGAGCATCTACCAATACAGTCGTGGTAGCCCAGGGAGAGAGAGCACATGGCTTCCGTCCGCAGAGGGAAGCTGAGAAACTGTCCTTGAACCTTAAGTGCGGGCTGGATGGCTCACTGCTGAGCCGAGCCCGGTGCACACTGCAGTGGAGGGAACGTGCTCTTTTAGAGGAGGAGATAGGAGGCTCGAAGAAAGGGTTAGTGTTTTGGGTGCCGTGCTCTGTGGTTTCGGTCCCTTTAGGGGAGCTACAGCAGCTCTGTGTGCAAGGCCGTCAGGCCTCAGGTGGGTCCTGGGCTGCAGGGGCATTTCGAACAGTCCAACCCCGGGCTCACCAACAAACTGTGAGTCCCTTAGACTCTCTTGTCTTGAAATGTAAGGAAATAACTGCTGGATCTCTGAAGTTTTCAGGTGTTCATCAGATACACCATTTTACACCTGCCCCCGTGCCTCAGCTTTGATCTGTTCGCTATTAGAGGGCAAGTTCAGATGCTTTCGTGTTGTCGATTAGGACAAGCATCTGGAGACAACCCAGGGAGTGTAAGCGACGTGCATGGATGCACAGCACAGGACACGTAAGTCTCCGGTGACAGATCTGGGCCGAGAACTCAGCCCTTCACACCCCCCGCCATGCTAAGTTTAGTGCTTCTTTGTGCTACCTTCGTTCGTCCTTCTGAAGCTGCTAGTGATGGACCGTCCGATTTCTCAGTAATATGTCCCTATCTGGTAAGTATGGGACTCCCAGAGCGATCCCCAGTTTTGTGTGGTCTGTATCCGCCTCCTCCACGAGCGTGATACCCGGCGTCCCTCTTCCCTCCTGAGGCCACCCTCTGCATCGGACTCGGCCCTCCCGTTCCTCACAGGTGATGTCCAGGGGCTCTCATCTCTCTCCAGAGCCATGAACTTGCCCATCTTCTGCAAGGGTGGTTGACAGAGAAAACAGAGATGCTTCTAGATCTTTACCCACTGCAGCCTCTAATGTATAATGATGCTTTCCTGTTTGTTTTCTCTGTCAGAGTGTAGAACTATTATATGTGAAAGAGTGAACAGAAATGGGCGTATTTTGAGTCAAGGCTGGATTTAAGGCAAGGATGATTCGGGATAATATGGAGAACCAGCAGAGAGACCACAGGTGGGGGATGGGCCAAGAAGAGAGCGAAGGGAAATAGGGGACCAGGCAGGTCACTTCTGTTATCCATCTGGTAAGGCCTGGAGAACAGAGGATGGGATAATGGATGTGCGTGCATGCGTGTGTATGTGTGTGTGTGTGGGGGGGTGTTCTTCATGTGCGGCTTATTTTAGGCTTAATTATTTTGCTCTTTTCATTAAAGTGAATAATCACGGAAGCTCTGCAAACCTCATTCATGTGGAATAACATAGGTTGAGGATGGAGACATTTTGAACTTACGTAAATGCCAAATACCTTCTCTCATGACAAGCCCTTTGGGAAATGCACGTGTAGCTCTGTCCAGTTATAAACACTCCTACCTCTTTGATCACCCGTATCCTAACCCCCCATATTCAAGAATCTGTTTTTCTTATTTTTCTTCTCTGAAAACATCCTAAGAGTTGGCCATATTTTTCTACAAACACAATCAATAGTTAGCATGGAAAAGCAGCTTTCATTTAAAAACAGGAAAAGAGAGCTAGAGGCTTGGAGTAGTTTCTTTTCTGCCGCCATCAGCATTATAAAAGGACAGGGGTCGGGAGAGGGTCAAGTTCAAGCAGAACTGCTACTGACCTTCGCAGTTAATGCCCAAGCTCTGGGGGGGGGCTTCTCCGATTCTCACAGGTAATGCTCTCCAGTTTTGTTGGAAATACAGGAAACAGCCCTTTGGGAGGAAGGCAGGACAGGAGTTTCAAAAAGAAGGGGAGTTCGGGAAGTCCTGGGACACTTGAATCAGCATTCACATGTTTATTCATGCTGGGCCACCCAGAGTAGGACGGTAGAGATGCCATTGCTCACCAGACGTTCCACAGGTGGATCACAGAACATTCCGTAGTTTGCTCTATGCGTTAGAAAATAGTCTCTGGTTTTTCTTGTTCTTTGGTTGAATGTGGGCCAAAAAAAAAAAAAAAAGATTCTTTTAATTATGCTGATCTGCCTTTTTTTTTTTTACCCTTGTCATGTGATTTCAAACACCACGGTGGAGGGTTGCTTCGTGCATTGTCCATCAGGTTCAACGAAAGAGTGGTTTTCACCGTTTCCGTCAAAGTTACAGTCGGCCTTTTATTCCCCAGGAGTCGGGGGCTCGCCGCCGCCATCAGGATGCCCATGGCCTTCTCCTCAGCCTCTTGCGAAGCTCCACAGACTGCACGGCTTGCTCGGGGGGCGGGGGGGGGGGGACCTGAAAGAATCCCTTTCGAGGGACGCCACGGCCGAAGACCGAAGAGTAATATTTGTCAACATTAAATAGACACTTGGTGAAGTATGCATAAATATTTCTTCATCTAAACAGAACACGAAATTAAATAGTTCAGAAACACAGACACTCTACTGAGTCTACTGTTGTCACCTGTAAACACCAGCTCACACTGAACACAGAAGCAGCTTCTACCCCGGCCCCGGGGCCAAGCCATGAGGCCCTGTACAGAGGTGAGGTTTCTTCTCGGCGCCCCGCCCCCCTCCCCCCTCCCCGCCCGCTCCCCACACAGCCCCTGCGAAAGGAAAAGAAGGAACCCCAACAACCACAGCAGTGACAAAAAGGACGAGCAATGGCGGACCCCTCCCTCCCACCCCCAATACAACATTGAGCTTTTGGATCAATTTCAAAGGAGATACAAAATCATTTTTTTTCGAAACATAAGGAAATCAGCTTGAAGCAATACTTTTCAAAGTGTTAATACTTTCTTCAGAGGACACGTGAGTTCCCAAACCCCGCCCGTGACTGGGTGAGGGTCGCACGAGGAACCCCGGAAAGCACTGGCCACAGCTAGGTGACACAGGTGGAAGCCCTTTGCATTTGGAAGGGGCCAGGTAGCAAGACCTCCAACGCCACGTTCTCCCCTGGGGCGCTCTGCCATAGATCCTGCTGCGTGTGACATTCAAGCGTGACACTGAGTTTCAAGCAGCTGAGACAGCAGAAATTTTGTGGGGCAACATTCAGATTTGGATGATTAAATTCAACCCCGCGGACAGGGTTCGTGGTTGGAGCTCAGAGGGGCGCCGGTTTGCGGAGCTCTGTCGAGATCAGCAGAGCGCACGGTTTACACTCGGAGTCTGGCCCAGCCGCGGGGCTGCACCTGCCTTGGAGGGGGGGCCCGGCTGCTCTGCGCACCCCCCCCGGGGGGGCCGGCTGCCCGCGCCTGCGTATTCCCCAGGGTGGTTTGTGGGGGAAAAAAAACAACCCTGGTTTCCCAAACATTACACTGGGTTTATTTCACTTTTATGTTGTGTTAGGATCCCAAAGAACTTCAGTTACCAAAGTACTGAAAGCTTATATTGCAAGAAAAATTTGCCAGCTCAGTGATTCCCACTATATTATATACACTGTGTGTGTGTGTGTGTGTGTGTGCGCGCGCGCGCGCGCGCAGCTCTCTCTCTCTCTCACACACACACACACACACACACTTATATATTTTTATTGGTATGGAACTGGAACTGCACAAAACAGTACTTTGCAAGAATCAAGTCCACAAATAGAGTTTAACAACACACCAAAGAAGACAGGAAAGCTCTATTGGGACAAGAAGGTTCAGCTCTGCAGCGTATGAAATAATTTCTGAACCACGAATGCGCTAGCCTGACGTGTTCCACGTGGGCTCTGGGTCGACCCGCGGGGGCTCCTCGGGAGGAACGCGGTGGCCGGCTCGGCTGGTGATGCTCAGCCGAGATCCCAGCGCTAATGGGAACTCAGAGAACCCAGCAGATCAATTTGGCTGTGGAATTATTGTGAGACACATTTTTTTTTT